AAGGAAGAATAATGATATTCGCCCTCATTTTTCACTTTTTCAACTGTCTTTATGTTGAAACTAAACGAGTTAATTTGTTTAAAAAGTCCTTACTTCATGGTTGTTTTGCTTGATTTGTGTATGTGGCTTGTAAATATTTCAGTAGGCAAAAAATAGTTTTCTGATTCAAAGTCCAATGCAACCACCAAGGAAAAAAATGTAGCTGTTTCAATGTCACAGATAAATGAAACGACTTCTTCCCTTTGTTATTTAATCTTCTTTTATAAATAAGCTCATGTTAATTGCTTCCTTCTATCGTGAAAAACGGGGAAATTAAACTGAAATCAAGGTGGCGTTCCATGATTTGAAAATTAAAAATCCTGCTATCATACATAATGGTGTAATCCGATATTTTCCCTGGATTTTATTAATTAACACGCAATAGCCTGATTTTTCTTGTGCAATGAGATTAGCTCGAGAGGAAACGCACAAACACACGGCTATCCGATATACGGATTAACTCGCAAGATAAACATCACATTTACAATTCTTTATTCAATTGTTCAAATAAATATTTTGGCTGATTCCCAACTAAAAATTCAATGGAAATCTCCAACACCTCTTGTTCAATTAATTGATTTTGCGCTGATCAAATAATTGCCCATATGCAAAATGGAAATAATGCAGTATTGTGCAATACGACTGCATCCATTGCAAATTAGATGTAAATTTTCAACAAATGACGTGCATGGATGAGCAACGACTTGTTCTTTATCGAGTTACACATTGATTTGTCTGAATGAGAGTTGTTTCTGCTGACTGCATTGCTGTCACTGCAATTATTGACAGTAAAGCAAAATTCCTTTCCACTGTGTACGGGGTGAACAATGAATATTTCTTTACTATAATAAAAACAATTTTTTTTAAATAACTCTACACTCACTCATTCTCTCTCTCTCTCTCTCACACTCTCTCTCACACTCTCTCTCTCACACACACCTCACTCTCTCTCACACACACTCTCTCTCTCTCTCACACACACCTCACTCTCTCTCACACACTCTCTCTCACTCTCNTTCTCTCTCTCACACTCACTCTCTCTCTCTCACACACACACACCCCTCACTCTCTCTCTCTCTCTCTCTCTCTCTCTCTCTCTCTCGCACACTCTCTCTCTCACACACACACCTCACTCTCTCTCTCACACACACTCTCTCTCTATCTCTCTCACACTCACACTCACACACACACACACCTCACTCTCTCTCTCACACACTCTCTCTCTATCTCTCTCTCACACTCACACTCACTCACACACACACACACACACACACACACACACACACACCTCACTCTCTCTCTCACACTCTCTCTCTCTCTCTCTCTCTCTCTCTCTCTCTCTCTCTTTCTCTCTTTCTCTCTTATTTTTTCGTCTGTCTATCAGCCGAACGAATGAAATGCTTGAATAATGTTTGTCACCGACACATTTTCAACTATATACAACGTATAAAGAATTTACCCGGATTCCATCCATCTGATGATATCATTCGCGAAACCTTATCATTACAAGGTAATACGGAAGCCGAGTAATTCAATCGAGCCCAGCACTTGGGCCAACATCCCTTTCCTTCTTAAAAACCGGATTCCACCAGTTAAATGCTCAATTGTCGACATGTTCTGCATTTATCCATCCTTCGTAGTGCCAATTTCCTGGAAAAGTTAGTTATAATAAAACAGCCTTATGTTCGTCATTATTTGTATTTGGGCCGTTGTTTACTACGGATTACAAGAACAGTACGGGACCATATCAGCAGTACTCGTTAAAGGTAAACAAACACATTCTCTCACACAGTGACCAAACCGACCAGGATACAGGAACAATTGACTTGAAACTGCAATTTTCATCAACCGTAAGCGTTTCTGTTTGATTTAAACTTCGTCCTTACAATTGATAATAAATTACCCGATTAAATAACAACAAACATATATTATAAACGACGTTAATGAGAAAACTTATAATAATTTTTAAAAAATAAAGCTAAGAATAAGAAACATTCAGCCAACATAGACGAGAGTTTCATTAAATGTATTATATAATAAATTAACTTTTTGTTTGTAATTTTATTAATTGTATAAGTTTAAAGTTTACCTACGAACAGTTTCATTGTTTACGAACAAACTTTAGAACCATTTGCGAAGCAAGATTATACAACCAACTGAACATGAAATTAATCATTCGTTGAAAAATTGTTGGACCTTTTGTTAATTCATATCACAAAATTATTTTTCCCCATTTCTTCGTCATGAATGTCCAACCGTGGCTGATTTCTATTGTTTCACGAGTGAATAACCGATACGATAACCTCAATAATTCAGGTACAAACAAAAGACACCGGAAGTGGCTCATTTTCGCGAGTGCTAAGATATAATAAACGAAACAGATATTTCAGTATTATATTATACAATTAATATAGAGATAAATGGGGGAGGACAAACGTCCGAATGACAGAGAGACAGAGCAAATAGATATTAAATTATTAATGGACCACACACACACGCGCGCGCGCACACACACGCGCACACACACACACACACACACACACACACACACACACACACACACACACACACACACACACACATGAAACAGAGATTCAGACAATTGATAAGAGAAATAAACTGGGAAATGAGAGACAGTTGGAGAAGGAAAGTTTGAGTGAGAGAGAGATGGAGTAGAGAGAGTGAGGAGAGATAGATATGTGGAGAAGGAGAATTGGAGAGAGATGAAGAAAGAGAGAGAGTGAGAGAGATATACAGGGTGTTCGGCCACTCGTGTTACAAACTTTGCCAGTAGATTCTACATTCAAAATGGAAACGAAAAGTCCTAATTAACTGTGGTGCGAATCTAAAAAGTTATATATAATATACTTGTATAAATTCACTTTTCCACATCCTAAATGTATTTGTTAAATGTAAACAATGTTTATAAATTTCAGGCTCTGAAGATGATCTCAATAAAGATCGAAATGTTGGCACGATAAAGAAAATGTTTTTCTGAAACCTACATCACACCAGACCGCATCTCACGATATCTGAACAATTATCGATTACCGGTCACTAATCTCTACACATTTAGGAGTTATTTCACTTTTTCTGATTTTTTAAGATTTCACGACAATGCTTCAAATAAACAATGATAATTCAAAACGAAAAGGTTTTGGGCAAATCCGTTGAGACCATTGAAAAGTACGTTAAATTTCCAATAATATATGGTCAATACTAAACTTGTAATCCTTCGTGATTTAGTAGCGTTTTAGCAGCGATTACTGAAAAATATTTTTTTCAAAGGTGAAAAACTTACTGTGGTGATTCTAAACTACTATTTTCAAACCCACAGACCCGCAAATTTCAGAAAACGTACTCCACCTAAAATCCTTTTGAATGGTGCAATTGCTTTTTTAATTACTTTTTTCAAAGATTAAGAAATTGATGAAGGAAAAGAAAAACCGTGGTTGAAGGATTGGTAAGGTGGAAAGATTAATAATATTAAAAAATAAACAACTTAAACAAATTTTGAATTAATTAATTTTATTTTTTTTAATTTGGGTTCGAAGCCGAAATAATGCAAGTGTTTATGATTTACCAACACGACTGCAACTTTGATCAAAGGATTTTTGTATTATTATTCTCCGGAATAAAAGTTTTATGGTTCAAAACGTTTTTATTTATCTATGTGATATCTTGTTAACCCTACGGCTACTTTTTCTAATGAAGAATATGCTCATATACATCTTATGTACAGGTTTTAATTTGCGTCAAAATTACATTGAGGAAGGTGGAGAGCATTTCACATTAAAGTTAAAAAAAAGTGTAATAAATTAATTCAAAATTTCCTTAAGTTGTTTATTTTTATTATTATTAATCTTTCTACCTTACCAATCCTTCAATCACGTTTTTTTCTTTTCAAAAATGTATTGCACCTCTAAAAAGGATATTATGGAGTACGTTTTCTGAAATTTTCTGGACTCTAGGTTTGAAAATAGTAGTAGAATCACCATAGTAAGTTTTTTCAACTTTGAAAAAAAAATTATTTTTCTAAGTTCTCGCTACTAAAACGCTAAAAAACTTGTTAGTTTTGAAGTTATCATTGTTTATTTGAAGCAATTTCGTGTAATCTTTCAAAATCAAAAAAGTGAAATAACTCCTAAACTATTGAGATTCGCACCATAGTTAATTAGGACTTTTTGGTTCCATTTTGAAGGTAGAATCTACTGGCAAAGCGAGTAGCTGAACACCCTGTATCTGTGAAGAGAGTTTGAGAGAGATATGATAATTGCTTTCTTTTCAAATACTTTCACTAAAAAATAAAAAGTGCTTCAGTTACTTATCTAAATCAATTAACTTGATTCTTAGCCGTTTAGCTTAGCACTCGCAAGGAGGAAGCGTTAAACGAGCCTGTTGGCAAACCCATAAACCTTATGGGTAATGATAAACGATACCAGCCTCTCTCACTCATTTCCTCTGATCCTTTGGCGTAGAATTACATCCTGTGCTTAGCTTTGATTCTCCGCATACAGGTCAGAGCAAACTTGCCACTTGGCAAAAATCGTTCGATATTATTTACCCGTATTCTAATTTAATATTACATAGAATCCTTTTAGAAGAAATGCCGATTGGACGCATTTAAAAATATCAGATTTTGCTGAAAGGTTTAACTTCTAGTTTGCAAGATAATAATTATCAAACATTTTTTCATTTATTCTAAGATAATATAAAAAAATGGTTTAATGCCTTGTACCTAAGTGTTGTTCATACATCTGGTCAATTCATGAATTCTTAACAGTAGACAGTTCATAAACAGTGCTTAAAAAGTAAAAATTGACTATTATTTTTAAATGATTAAACTTAAATTAACTCATACAACTTATATATTATTTGATATATACATCAACAATGAATAATGATTTTCATCAGGCCATGCCTAGACAACTTAGGCGATTTTACTGTGAACTCTATGTCACACCACTTTCACTTTATCACATTTTGCAAACATTTAACAAGGACACGGTCGACAGACTTACACACAGACCAATCACTGAAGAATTGTGAAACGCGTTAAGTCGGACAGACAAATCATAGAGACCTGCCAGACCAGGATGATCAGATGCAACCTAGAATGTAAAATTTCCAATTTCTATTACTATTTTCAATTAGACTTCAATAATTGGAATTATTTAAATTAATAGATTTATTGTTTTATAGGTAAATTATTTGACTGAAAAAATGAACATAATTGTTTTATTATTTTAGAGCATTTGGAACCAATTTTTTGGTGTAGTGCTTACAAAAATTATCAGGCTTTATCATTTTATGCATATTTGGTACACAGTTAAACCTTAAAACGTAGAATAGAATCAAGCACTAAAGATAGTAAACTAATTTCTTTTCAAATCTATAAAAAAAAATTGTTGAACTATATTTGTATTTATTAAAATTAAATATAACAACATCACAAGTTTTTATATAAATAAAAGTAAATAAATCAATTCTTATAAAATGATAAAGTAGTAAAAGCCATCCCGCCAACATATTCTGGTCCTCCGGGCCGGATTCAGCTGATATTAGTTTATATACATTACTGTTCACACTACGTTTAATCAATTCCTCTAAAATATTTAGGAATGTGTGGTGATTAGTGACCGTTAGTCGATATTTATTTAGAAATCGTGAGATGCGGTCTGGTGTGATGTAGGTTTCAGAAAAACATTTTCTTTATCGTGCCAACGTTTCGATCTTTATTGAGATCAACTTCAGGGCCTGGGATTTACAAACATTGTTTACATTTAACAAAAATCCAACGTATATAAACATAAAACAGCAAAATCTCACTGGCACTCTCAACACGCACGCAAGAATGGCACAATTACACAGAAGACGAACACTTTGAGCCCTGAAGATGATCTCAATAAAGATCGAAACGTTGGCACAATAAGAAAATGGTTTTCTGAAACCTACATCACACCAGACCGCATCTCACGATTTCTGAATAATTAAAATATCTAGTTTCTTATGTAGTCTTATTTTTATTTTTCCTTCCAATTTTTCATTGGCAACCATATTTGTGTAATTAAAATTAAGCATAACAACCCACTCCCGCCGACACTCCTGGTCCTCCGGGCCGGTTTCATCCGGAATTATTTTACTTTAGATTACTGCTCAAGACCTTTAATTAACTCTTAAAAAATAGTAACTTGTTGCTTCTGCAGTATTATTTTTCTTTTTATTCAACTTCCTTTCTGTTTTCTATCAGTGATAATTATTGTTATTGTGTAGGTTCTTTAAGTTGAATATAAAAAGTGTGGTTTTCGTATCCTGCCGTACATTAACTACAATCTACTCCTTATAAATTTAATTTTATAACACCTACACCATAATAAAATATAAACACCTATTAACTTGCAACATTTTTCCGTTTATATGTCGTAGTTACCTATTTTGTCGATTAATTATAGAAATGACACCTAAAAAAGTAACTTTAGAAGAAGTTTGATTTAAAAAATTTCGAAGCACAAATGAATAACCTTTACATTTATAAGAATATCCTACATATGTATTAGGTATGAATAAATATTATAATATTTTATGCGAGTAAATAGAGTATTTTTGTATTAGTAGAACTTCACCGATTGGCACACAGGTAGTTGAAACTTAGCTAAATTATGTATGCCATAAACAGCGAATAAAGAAATATAATACTTTATTTTCAAGAATTTTAAAATTTTAAAGTTAAAGTAACAATAAAAGTTCCGGATAAATTGTTAAATATTCACCAATAAGAAGTTATGAAACAATGATCATGACGTAGGAAATAACACCATCGATTTTTTTTCTGTTTATATATTTTTTTATAATATTAATATAACATTTTGGCACTAGAAATGTAAGAAAGTTAATTCATTTTCTATTGATTAATTAATTATATATTTTGAACAGGCGAGGATTACTATACAATGTGCAACTATAGTTTTATTCAAACGTGGGCAATTACTTTAGTAAGTAGGTAGTTACTGTTTGAAGATTAAATAACAGTTAACATAAATTATTAATTCATTTAGTTTTAGTGGTCAATTGACCTAGTTACATCTGTCAATTAATTATTCTTTCCATGTAAGGTCTTGGTTGAGATAAAATTGTCAGTGTCACGAGCAGGATTCGAACCCACGACCTTCGGCTAAATACGCCGCTATTCTACCACTTGGTCATTGGTCACCATAGCTCAAGTGGTAGAGTAGCGGCGTATTTAGCCGAAGGTCGTGGGTTCGAATCCCGCTCGTGACACTGACATTTTTATCTCAACCAAGACCTTACATGGAAAGAATAATTAATATATATTTTTTTTTTTTAATTTGCCTCTTTTGAGAAGACGAATATGTAAAAGATTCCTTTTACGTTAATCCAAAGAGTAAAAATAAATCAATATCAAAATTAGATGGAATGATGGTGCAGTAAGCTCTTGTTATTAAGTGATGGTGTTAAATATAGAACGCGGTGCTTAGCGGACGGACTTTATCGCCAAGGTCGTAGCAAGGAGAAAAAGAGCCCGTCTTACTACGTAGGCACGCTATCCGTATCGAACGGCAAATCAATGGCTCCCTGGTATCCAACATTCAAAAATAGTCATTCCTGAACTTCGCCATGTGATGTAACTCAGCGGGAAATATCATTAAACGAGAAGGAAAGACGGATTTAGAGAAACGCTTTGCTTTTCCGTCGCATGCCCATCACCACTGACCTACCCATAACCTGTTCATGTTTTATTTAGCCACCGAGGCGCAAAAATATTGTTCCGACATCTGTTCACGAAAAGCCCTAAAAATATGGTTCTTTTTTGACAACATGATATAATTTCTAGTTAGCTATGTCGTATAAATGTATGTAAGTTCTAGTACTTACATACTTAAAAACATCTGTATTATGTCCACGCACTTAAACTGAATAAAAGGAATCCCTTGTCATAAATATTTACTCATTATGTAATTAAAAATATTGCTCAATTTAAGATAAAAAATTCTCTTTTTACGCACTTCTTATTCGAAAATATTTAATGTACTGAATTAATCACACAATTAACATGGTTCAAAGGATAAGTTTAAAAGCAGGTTCACTACGATAAATTGATATCAATAAGTATGAGTTTTTTTTCTCTTTGAACTAGTTTGATTTATTTTGATCACATTTGTCTTCAATCTTTTATGCAGCCATAGAATTAATAAAGCTTGTAAAGCGTAGAGTTAAAGCCTTTGTTGATTATTTTTTGCCTAATATGTAATTAATAATCGTTAACAGTTGAAAAATTTAAAAAAATGAAAAATTAAATCAATGCGCGCGAAGATTACTTGACCTGAAGATTAGCCACACATAAAAGTATGATAAAAAGACTATATCCTAAAAAAATACCAAATAATATTAATCTATTTATGTTTAGTGATCATAATTGACTATATTAATTATTTCGATTAATTATTCTTTTTATTTAAGGTCTTGGTTGAAATTAAAGATTAGCCAAAGGTCGTGGGTTCGAATCCCGTTTGTGACACTTTTTAATCTCAACCAAGACCTTACATAAAAAAATAATTAATTGAAATCCCTAATAATGTAATAAGGTCCAATTCGTTAACATTGTTAAAGGCATAAGATTAAGAGTAGATCCACTTGCATAATTTTATATCAATAAGTTTCCGATTAAATAAATTGGCTACAATAATTTTAAACTGAAATATGCAATCTTCTTAATAAATGCACTGACAGAATTAATTAATATTTAAAAATACCTTGAGGATTCTTGTAGTTATTGATGAAAAATTAGCCCATTCAAACTATTTCTGCCGCTTACATTCTTTAAAAAAAAAACTTATGTAGATTAAGAAATAACATACATTTAGTAAACTTGCTTAATTATATAATTAACTTTAATTTCGTTAACATAGTTAAGCATTTCTGATGAGATTAGGACATGTGGATAAATTGACATCAAAAAGTCTAAGCTTTCTTCTCAAAGTCATTTCTTTTGTTATGACCAAAATTAATTACTATTTTACACAAGCTTGCCATTTTTAGTCTTTAATTAGCATATGCTTAATCACAAATTAGTTCAATACATGTAAACATCACTAAATTTTCAGTAGAGATTAGTGACCGTTAATCAATAGTTATTCAGATATCGTGAGATGCGGTCGGGTGTGATGTAGGTTTCAGAAAAACTTTTTCTTTATCGTGCCAACGTTTCGATCTTTTATTGAGATCATCTTCAGGGCTCAAAGTGTTTGTCTTCTGTGTAATTGTGCCATCCTTGCGTGTCGTGTTGAGAGTGCCAGTGAGTCTCACGGCGCTCATCACTGTAAGGTAAAGGTCCTGGGTTCGAATCCAGCGGCCCTGCATTCGAACCCGACATACTTACAAATGGCCTTTTTTTTCAAAACACCGGCACCGAGGGTATGTACATATAACCTCTGCTGTTGCGAACCCTCGTTAAAAAAAAAGTTTAAATAGCTATAATTCAAGCATTTTTCATTACGAAAGAAAATTGTTTTAAAAAAAGTCACAATATATAAATAAAACACCCTTTATTAGGTTGCTAAAATAATAATAAATTTATCTAACGTTTATCAGTGCAGCCTTGGCCCATTTGAGCAATCGTGAGACATTTTATTTAACAATTTACACAAAATTAGGACGGCCATCTAGTTTTATCTCTTTCAGGGCAAACCAATAAGTGAAAATAAGTGAAAAGTAATGAAAATGAAAGACAATTTTCTCATATGTTCTCTAAAACGACTGGTTCCGCTGTGATTAAATAAGTATGGATTTTCTGTGCCAGTAGGACGTTTTTAAGTATTTTTTACACACGAAGAAAGCAGAGCAAATCCCCTTTTCACTTCCAACGGAGCGTCAAGCCCATAGGGAAACTATTACTGTCATTGGCCGTATTTCGTTTAGTTCCTTTCATCAAAACGAGCCCAAAAAAAGCTAAAGTAATAAAATTATCAGCCTTATTAAAGTTTTTTGAGTGAGTTTTTAACAGACTGTTCCGCAGATTTCATTATAAATTGCTAACAAAAATTTATTTCTGAATGTTAAAAACTAACAAAAATTATATTAAGTTACATAGAATCAAAGACAATTAAAATTGAATCAAAAGTTACATCTAAATACATAATTTATAAATTATACTGTTTACGTTAAGTATATTCATATTTAGATTCGCGTCAGTGGGGGACTTAACTGTTCACGAAAAAAATTAAATGATTATTTTTTAATGGTATTTTACAGTCTGCGGTGGTTCATCCATATGTTATTGTCATCGTATCGTTTTTCTATTTTAAACCAAATTCGATAAACTGAAAGTGATGTGACAGCATTGTCTTTGTTGCTTCTTGGTATTTTCTGATCAATGTCGGTATTATATTCCTTGTTGACGTAAGGCCACATTGGGCAGTACGTTTTCTTGTATTGCCTCACCCTGCTTACAACCCTGGCCAACCAATGAAGTTAAACGTCATAAGCATCCGATCAAACTACAAGGATAGGCAGGCATAAAAAGGAGAAACGACCAAGATTTATTGTAGAATCATTTCAAATTTTTAATTTAATATTATGATTTTAATTTGTGAATTTCTTTTTGAATTCAGTTTTCTCATTTTTAATGTGCTGTGCTTGTAAATCTTAAACTTTTCCTATATACCTAATATTAACAAAATGCTTGCATAAAAACAGTGCTGATACACACCTCCTCCGCTCAATAACATTTTGCAAACGTATAAAAAGGATACGATTGAAAGAATAACACACTGACCAACCATTGAAATAGTGAAACATATCTGACAGACTAAAATGAAGCTAAACGGCCTACATGTCATCATACAAAACCAGCGAGACTAGGCACCAGGTTGATCGTTCACGAACTACAACCTCTTACATAAATCCATTAAAAAAATACCGTATGATTGAAATAATCAATTAGAAGTGGTTTTCCAATCCATCCAATATTTGATAAAATTAGCATCAATAAACAGTTTATGGTCGTCGGTGGCCGCAACGGTTAAGGCGTTGACACGGCGCTCATCACTGTAAGGTAAAGGTCCCGGGTTCGAATTTCATTGGCCTGCAGTGGAACCTGACATACAAATGGGCTTTTCTTCAAAAACTCCGACACCCCTAGGTGAAAAAATTACTTCTTTGCATCATTTTGTTATAATTTTAGCCAAAAAAAATCCATTTTTAACTTCCATGACATTTGTTATTATTCCATGCTTGTCATGATTGTTTGATGAAATTCCCTTCCCTTTCACTTTTCGAAACATGCAAAATTATTTTGTAAAAGGTGCAATGGCCCATCTAAAATAGGCGAATCGAACGTTCGACAACAAGCGGGCGATTGTGTGTTAATAATTTATTAATGTGTTCCTAGGCACGGATCAATCGATTAAATATTTCAGTTGATAAACCTACCTGCTTACGGCCGTGTTGCAAACTTTTCAGAAATGGCAAAATTGCGCGGAACAGTCTACATCACTATGACCGTCGTTGTTTCTATTTGAATAGAAATAATTCTACTAAAAATAATAATAAATTCTAATAAATTTTATAGTAATAATTCTTCTCAATAATGAAGATGATGCTTTATAATAAAACGAACAACTTAAAGCAGAATAAAATTACTACGATTTTATTATACAAAATAACAATGTCAAAAGCTGTGGTTCTTTGATAAATATTATTTAAATAATAAATAATAATAAAAATTATATTATTGAATATCCTAAGCCATTCGAAAATTGGTATTTTTGTGGTAAAAATTAACTCGTTTATCAAACCAATCGCATGCCGTGAATTATGTTTGTGAGAACCCGTCATTGAACGAAAATCATTTAAAATTTAAATAGTAAAATAGTAGTATGACGCTTGAAACGTCAAGGATGAAATAATAAATTAAAATTAACAGAAATTAAAATCAGATAAAATGAGACAGACAGTGTGTAAAATATGAACAACCTTTTTTTTATGTTTCTTCGGAGTCGATGCACCACCTTTTGCTGTGATAGGTTGAGCATTACAAGATAACCACTCAGACATAGCTAGTTACCATAAAATGATGGAGCACCTGCACGTGGCCCTTTCTTGTACTATTTCTTGTAGTGTCATGCCAAGCACATTCTTTATCTCATTCTCAATTTCATTACACATCTTATTACATCATTACATATATCTCATATGAACATGACAGAAAAATATAACTATAATGGCCATTAAATGTTTTAATTGTACTATTATTGTGAATAAACCAGCGAGGGTAGACTGACCCATGTCGAATGATCAAGGGTTGATCAGTTCAGCGTTCACCGACTCTCAGACCAACAGCCACCACCAACTATTACTAAACTTATTGATATTAAAATCCACACAATATAAAAGTAAACTTTAAACTTGTAAAATAATAAAAACACAACAACAGTACGAAGACAACGTGTTCACATCCGAGTGACGATCTAGTCGAGAGACCAACCACTGGAGATGGAAAATGCGTCCGACTAAACCAGCTCGATGAGGCAGACCTGCACGATCGGGAAACGGCCAAACTAATAGGACACCACCGTGTAGATTTCAACTAAATATCTCCCAATTCATTTTGAGAGAATTTGTGTTTTAAAAATTAATTTTACCGCACGCAAACGTGTTTTTTTGTGTAAAGTAACAACGCTGGGCCCCGATGCAGAAATATCCATCCTTGTTTTAATGATTTGTGAATATTGTATTCGTTTTTGGTAGTTTTGCCGTTTCCGATCACCTGAATACTGTGTTAGTCATCATTAGTTTACCTTGTCAAAATGTAACACATAGATACAACACTGATGGCGAAATGACACCGTCTGACAGAACAGACTAACCAGAATGCGCAGACCCTCGCGATCGTAAACGGCCAACGAGCGCATCGTAAACGGAGATGGAGAATGCGTCTGACAGACTAAACCAGCTCGAAGAGGCAGACCAGCACGATCGGGAAACGGCCAAACTAATAGGACACCACCGCGTAAATTTCAACAAAATATCTTCCAATTTATTTTCATCACACAGTTTTTAACCATTACTGTGGTTTAAATATCTCACAGGCGATTACTTTCTGATCTGATGTCAAGATTCTTCCTTGTTTTAATATATTTTTTTCTTGTTGAATTGGTACTTATTTTTAGCTGGTCACACAACAACCAGCTGACCAACGTTGAAGTTGGCGAAAATCGCCTGACAGACTAAACCAACGAGAATGGACACGGTCGGAGACGTCAAAATTACTGGTTGAATTCGCATGTCGAGGCGTAACATGATGCAGGAATATTCATCCTAGTTTAAATTAATTACATTTTTCTTAGGGAATTGGTAATTGTTTATGTAGTTTTGCAATTCACTTTCCATCTTTTCTGGCTTGGTTTGTTATAAAATAACACCCAGACTAACTGCTTAAGTTAGCAAAATGCATCGAACAGACCAAACCAGCGAAAATAGACGTCGAAACTCAGGTTTCAAACTACTAGTGTTTCATCTCCCTCGGCAAACTATCCCTCAGTTTATTCTTCCAAACTACAGGAACTTCAAACTACCTGTGGTTCATCACACTGCAGATCTTAACAAAAATCTCACAATTTATTTTTCACTGTTTTATGTGGGGGTTGGGTTTCAGATGCAGGAAGATTATCTGAAGTTTGAGTAAAATAGATATTTCTCAGAACAATTCGTACTTATGTATGGTAGCTTTCCGTCGACGACCATTTATCTTTAAAAATAACAGCCATACCAACCACTGAAGTTCATATGCGTTCTGAAACGCACCTAACAGATCAAACCAGCGAAAAAACGCTGACCTGCATGATCTGAGATGGCAAATGCACAGGAACGTTAAACTACGTGTCATTCAACCACCCGCAGAATGCAACAAAATATCTCACAATTAGGTTTACTCGTATTTATGTATGGTAGTTTTCCGTCGTCGACCAATTATCTTTAAAAATAATATCCACTCCAACTACTAAAGTTCATATGTGTTCTGAAACGCGCCAGATAGACTAAACCAGCGAAAACGGCCAACCTGCATGATCAGAGACGGCGAAACTACAGGAACTTCAAACTACGTGTCGTCCAACTACCCTCAGAATTCAACAAAATTTCTCACAATTTATTTTTTCCAGTTTTATATCGCATAAACGGTCTTGGCGTCTTCATTTTTATTTATTTATTTTTTTTTTTCATTAAGAAGATTTCTCTCTAGTTTAAGTAAAATCAATTTGTCTTTAGGAATTCGTTTTTAAGTTTAGTAGTGTCCAGACGCCGATCATTTATAACAATAACATTCAGACCGACCACGGAAGTTCGTAAGTGTTCTGAAACACGCCAGATAGACAAATCCAGTAAAAATCGGAAACGTACTAATCACTGAAATTACTGGGCCATCTCGTTTGTCGCGTACTCTCTGATGCAGGAATAATTACCCTAGTTTAAATAATATATGTTTTTCTTGGGGAATTCAAATTTATCTTTGATAGTTGACCTGTTACAAAACAACAGCCGGATCAGCTACTGAAGTTCATAAGCGTTCTAAAACACGTCTGTAAAGACCTGATAGATTTTTCTTTGAGAAATTTGGATAAATTTTTGGTTTTTGTGCGTAAAGTGTATTAGTTCCATATGATTCTTTTTCTACGTACCAGCGATGACATTAAAATGCGCCAATTTGGCGGAAAAGATGCCGAGGCGGATAATAGCGGGATGCAGGTCGCGGGTGGCGGGCGATTGGTAAAAGGAAGGGCGTTAGCACCACATCCGGCGGAAGGCGTATCGACCGGCTGCCGGCAGAGGGCGCCCCAGGTCGATAGTAGTCCGCCTTGCAGTGGTGGTGGGAGTCGATGAAGAGAGCGGGCAGTTGTCGGTCTGGGTCGGTCTAGCAGACGACAATTCGGTTTGAGATGGCCTCGAAGTTCGTGTCTTGTTCTGTGGTTTGTTTCTGAAGGGGCTCCGCCGTCAAGGATCTCCGCCCCAACGGATCCTAGGAAAGGTTCACAACACAAGAGGAACAGCCCTACAGAAACAACGCACAAGACAAGGACGTAATTCGGCTCGGATTTGGACTTCTCTCCCCAGCAAGTTTTCATTTTCCACCCCAACGAATCAAACTTTTTAAATGTCTCTCTCCATCCGGCGTTTTTTGGAAAGTAAGGGCAAGACAATTCCGGCTGTTGGATATTCTCAACCTGGCCCCCTGGATCTGGGGATCAATACACCGACGCAGTCGCATTGAAATTCCCTATTTTGTGTTCCAGGTGACACCGGCGTGCCAAAGGAGGGAGTGTGAATAGTGCGCGTTTTGAAAAAATATAATTTTTTTTTCGAAAAAAATATTTTGTGTTCCCTTCGAGTGAAAGAGTGCGATGCAAGTTGAACGCGGAATCGATGTGCCAGTGGACGAGGTGCCGTTGAAGAAGGTTCGTGGGGATGTCTGCCCCGAAGAAAACTCACCCCAGGCGCCTCAGGTCGTGCCCCCGGCGTCTCACCACCCCCGGCAGGAGAAGACCCAGGCACCAGTGGCATCTCTCCTCGCCAACAAGTACATCCTTATCAATCCCATCGAGGGCTGCCCGCTCCACAAATGTTTGGACGTCGTCAACGACCAGGAATATGTTTGCCGGGTAAGCCCCTTTTTTTAAACAATTTTTTTTTTTAACCCTTAGCCATATAAAACAAAAAATCAAACCAGCGATTACATTCTTTTCAAACGTTCGTTAAACAATTTAACCAATAACCGATAAAATGATGTTCCAAATAATTTTCTTCACAAAGATATAATTTTTGCAATCCATTTTGATATAATGAAAAAAGCGTGACTCTGCTAGTTACATGACGATTATCAGTTAGTACATGACACATTAAATTTATTGTTTTGGTGAAAGCTTAGTTTCAGCGATGTCACCATAGCCAATAAAAGCGTTACAGGGTCGATTTTACTCTAGAAAACCAGTTTTCTCAAAATTATGAAATACGTGATGTTCCAGTTAACGCGTCAAATGTTTGTTTTCAAATTTCAAGAAAGGCCGATGGGGTTAAATCGTTACATTTCGAAATAGGACTAGTCATAAAAAATAACCGTTAGCCATTAAGGCCTAAGACGCTTTGCTACCTGCGCCGGCATATCTTTTTGTAGCTTTTTTTAAAATATAAATTACCCGGCAAATATTAAAAACGAAAGCTAACCATCTTAACGTAACAAACCTGGAAAAGGGTTTTCCTGATTCACCGGCTTACTCCACTATTTTACAAATTGCAAAACGGCGTTCCAAGGCATGTTACGTACGATTTGTGCAAGTCTAGCCCCGGCCTGTTGATATTACATGTCTTTAAAATAAACAGTTGCAAAATGGGCAATCTCCGTCAGACTCACACATCCGAGTGTCATTTTCTTAACAGTTTTCCCTCGGATTATTCAGCCGGAGCTAACATGTAACAATCATGTTTTCTATCCAATACTGATAGACGGTAAATCAGTATTTGCGCGTAATATTCAAAGAAGAAAAATTGTAGTAACAGATTCTCTTCGGTTTATGCTAACAATGCACCTGCTGACAACCCAGGGCAATTATTTTAAACGATTGGTTCTGAATACTGAAAATTCAGACTTACGCCCTTATAAGACCAGGCACAAAGAAAACCTCACGGTCAAGCCTTTCCGTCACTTCCGCTTCTGCATGCATGTAGCTTGAACACAAAGAAATTGGGCTTTTTGAAGATTTGGGATTAAATTTCTTCTGGTGTTTTTAGTTCATTTTAAGTAATCAGAAACAGTTGTTTAAAGTAATTGCTCTGAGTTGTCAGCAGGTGTAATGTTACGGTTATAAGCTGGAGAGAATACGTTGAAGCTTATAGCAACGAAATTAAACGGGCCGGATATGGCCAATTGTACATTTCAAACCATTTTTTTTCCAAAACCATTTAATACAGAAATAACGTTTGGCCCTAAGCGTTTGAATTTTTTCGAGCCCGAAAACGCTACTTTTGCGTTCTTACTGCATATAAGCAGAAATCCTTGGATATAATTAAATATGTCAATGGCCTAATAATAGAATCGCTTATTTATAGCCGAGGTAATTTTTCTAATATTGAATAATGGAAACTTAACTAAATGCCTTCCAGATATTTTTTTATACTGTCCCTAATACACAAGGGAAAATCCAAACTTTCAATTCAAAACTCGGTATCATTTCAAGTGTACCGGATTTTCGCTCGCTGTCGGTTTTTTTTTCCTATATAATTTTACGATACTTTGCACATGGTTATAGAAATATTGCTAAATAATTTTGATTTATTTTGCGTCGACGCATTGTGTGAGTTTCTCGCTGGGTGTCATTTAAGGTTACGTGGTGCTCTTTCCTCGCGAAATTTGCGCGTCGACCTTGGGTCCCAGACAATGGGGCGGATATACTGTTCTCATCTGTTGGGTCAAAAATCAAAAAGAACAGGATGAAAAATATATTTATCGGCTTGTTTCGATCATACGTGGAAATTGCACATGAAGAACACATCTCCCCTTCTTTGCACAAAAATTAACAAATATAACGCAATTCCGTGAGCGGTTGGGTCGGACGGTGAAAAGTCTCCAGTAGCACCCTTGAACGGAATCGGTTCACCTTGGAGCGACCTTTGTGATACAAAACCACCCTGAAATCGTGTAATTCAGGCTAGAAACTTGTCCATCTACAGGAAAACAGGCTGCGTTCAAGGACCGTTAAATTATTCGACTCGTCCTATTACGTCGCCAATCGAAAACTGACCGTTGGCGAATTTCACTCCAATCCGATCCAAGACAGGCACCCTCAAATTAAAAAATTCTCAGGGCGCATTCTGGTTTACTATAAAATTTTGATTACAACTTTATTTTGCCTTTCCTCCAAATGTTCCATTTATACTGCGATAAATCCTAAGCTATGCCGTTCGTTTATCCAAGGATTAGACTTTTACAATTGTAATCCAATAAAGTTTCCAATCCCACGGCATTATTGAATTTCTTTGTCAGTTTTTTTTTTCATAAATAATCCACTATTTCCTGGTTCAAAGATTCTTATATCGTGCCTGGTTTCTTCTATTGACTCTAGCCCATCTGTTGAAATAACTGTATTTTGTCAATAGATTGAACACGTCAGCTTTTAAAAGAAGCCGTAAAGAAAGCATCCAGCCTGATTTAACAACGGGACGAAAATATAAATCAGAAGGACACTAGAGCGCAGATAGTTTCAAGGCAATTTGGCAAATTCCCTAATAGATTATTTTCTTTTATCAGTCCAACTGACTAAGCCGTTTCTTACATTGATAAATTAAGTTTAATGATACATTCGGTTGTATGTGTAATATAATCCTAAAAAAGAATATTATGTTCTATGTTTGTAATCCTTGTTAACCTGTGCCTATTTTTTTGTACTGGGCGATTTCTAATCAAATTCATGTTTGACTAGCTGGTCCATTAGTATGTTGAAGATAAGAGCCGAGAATTTGCACCTGATCCCCACCCAGTCCTTGACAAGGGTCAGTAGCTCTTGCAGACAGACAAAGGCGCATCCCCCTCTACGCTCTCTTTGATACCCTTGAACGCCCGAACTAACGTCGGCCCATAAGAAGAGATTTAACTCCACATTGTCATTTTAAAATTTCTTTCTTCCAGAAAAGAGGCAAAAAGTTATAGCTGGAGATATGGGGAAAACGTTCTTGAAACGGGCCCAAATCCACGTGCTAACGGAAAAAACGTCCTTGATTAATCCTTTCCATGTTCCTTTAAACCGCTCTAAAGGATCAGAACAAAAGATACTCTTTTACTTTGTTTTTTACCCGGATGTATTTTAATTTGTTCATTGTTTTCAGGTGATAAGCAGGGGTTGCACGCCCCTCATGTCGGCCCATTTTCGGCTCGACGGCCACCCGAGGATCAACCCCCTTCACGAGGTAGTTCTCGGCAACGAAAACATGTACCTCGTCTTCCCCTCGTCCTACGGCGATCTCCACACCCACGTCCGCCTGAAGAAGCGACTACGGGAATCGGAAGCGAAACGTCTCTTCAGGCAGGTGGCGGAGACCGTCAAGGAATGTCACGAACAGGGTGTCGTACTCAGAGATCTCAAGTTGCGGAAGTTCGTCTTCTCCAACCCTCAAAGGTATGTCCGATTATATACTGAATTAAATAAAAATGTGAGACACGGTTTTTGAAACGGCGAAAATTCTTGACATCTTCCTACTTTGCCCATATCGCTTGTTAACCACGTCTTTAAAGTCTAATCCTTCGTTTCCCTTATCGTTCGTACACTTAATAAAAAAAAAAATTAACACTAAAACCGTTGGAATTCAAGACCACAAAATCCTCCTTGTACGGTTTTTTCTTCAAATTGGTACCTTTCCGCTGCATTCGAACGGCGCAGATAATCCGGAAGGTACCGCAGCCCCGAGTTCAAGGCCGAGGACCTAGTGTTACCTCATAGCCTCGCCGTAGAGTCGACTCGACTTGTTTGCCTATTCGCCTTTTGCGCCACAGGAATTCCTCTGGCTTCTTGGGCATTATTCTTTTACAAGATTAACTTCCAACATCTGTTCAATTCCTAATTCGACTCTTACAAGTCTGGGACAAATGTTAAGTTGTCGAAATGGATGATACATCGTCTAACATTTTTAACGTTATAAAATAATTTTGCAGAGACTTTTAAATTCAAACTACCCATACTTGCATTGTTCATAATTAATGTCCCAACAGTGATGTTTTTAATTTTTGCAACGAGTTAAGCAAGAAATTGCTAAATTAGCCGTCTTTTGCCAGCGATGAGTTAAATTGCTGCAGCAATTACATAAATGGTTCAGTAATATAAGGTTGCATTATGTACCCTTCGAATATTGAGTTTATAAATAATCGATATAAAAATTACGAAACGTGGCTAGGCGTTGGACCTTGAAAGTCAAATGTTATTTATGAAACCAATAAAATCCCAGTTAGCTTTCAAAAACGGCGCAAATAGACTCGTCGAAGGATCACTCACTCAAAACAATTTCCGAAAAAGATTGAAAGTATGGCCAGTTTTTAGGGAAAACAGAGCAAGGCCGAGGAGCAAGGTCCCCATTCCATTATAAAGAGTTATAAACAAAATATTTTTGTTACAATTACTATTATTCGGTTTAGTTCCGATGGTTTGTGGTGAAAGAAGGCGCGGGAGTCGGTAGTCCCTAAGGGCAAGCCCTTCGAAGCCCTGGGAGATGAGAATAGCTGAGCGTGTAGCAAGCCCTCTTGCCTCACACTCTTGTGTTGCAACCTGGCGAAGGTTCCTCACAGTGATGAAACTCATCCTTACCTAAAAACTATTACCATTTGTCGACCGGGCCATATTTCAACAGGACACGTGTAAAACAACGATAAACGAAACAATTCGAGAGAAGGCGTTGACACGAAATTATAGGTCGATCTCGTTTTTCTATTATAGGATTTACTCATTTCACTAGTTATTTAGAGCGCGTTTATTATTTGTTAAAGAACAGGAAGATAGATAGAGTAACAAGAAGAACAATTCAATTGAAACTGTTCATCCTATAATTAAAAAGAAGCCTGTAAATTTTCAAAAATAATTTAAAGTTGATATAAATACTACTATATGTTACACTTTTTTTAAAATAAATTCATCTAGACATCCCTCTTCTACACAAGATTCACTTATGTCACAAAACCATATATCAACAATTGAAAAATGGAGCAATCTTTAAAACACAAAGTTTAACACCTCAAAGTCACATCACAATTACACTCCCATCGTGAGATTTGTCCTAGCATATACTTATACAATGAACCTGTTCCTCAATCCGACAAAGTTAACTATTTAGGAGACCTACATTTGATGGAAGACCAACTTGGAATTCACACACGATTTAAAAAAAAAGAAAAAAAACGCACTCAACAAACTATTTAAAATGCTTTATTACGTACCTATTACCTCAGCCGACAATCAAAATTACCATTAAAATCATACCTATGTATCTACACATACCTCTTCAAATCTATTTTTATGTAAGGATGCCGTGCTTAAGGATCGGTCAAATATTCCAATTTTCCAGCCAAAATTTTAAGAATTATTGTTTCTGCCCTTTTTACGTAAACGATAATACCCTTCACAGAGATCTTCACATACCAACAGTTTTTTCATCCATCAAAACATATTACAGAAGTTTTTAATAGTAAATTACAAAATCACTTTTACACACAAATACGATTACTCCATTCCTAACAATTATCACGTAAACGTCTGAAACTGAAAATTAAGCAACCACAATAATATCCCAAATTGATTTGTAAGTTTTTAGTGATTCGGTAGATTGGCTCAAATGATGTATTTATTTTATATTCGTGTGATTTCTCTCCCACTCCCCCTCTCTTACTCTCTCCCTCCCTCTCTCTCTCTCTCTCTCACTCTCTCTCTCTCTCTCTCTCTCTCTCTCTCACACACACACACACACACACACACACACACACACACACACAAATATGAATATTGTTTTAGAACTACAATAAAATAACTAATCTCAAGTTCCTTTTAAACTTTAAATATTTTGTAGATTCGCATTTTAAGTAGTAAAAATAATGAAATTGGACATTGGTCTCATGGACGCACACAAAAATCCGTGTGGTCCCAATTTACCCAATCAACAGTACACGTGGACAAAGCTTATGTAAAATAGACATGATTTTATAACGAAATCTGCTTTGACAAAAAAATCCTTGACTCAATCTGGGTCGAATATAAAATCATACTATGAGGGTTTAATCTTATGAATTGCTAAACTTGATGAAGAAATTGGCTCGTTTTGGAAGTTCTGATAAACTTGGGCAATCGCCCCTGCTGGCTCTGGGGCGTTGGGCAAAGGAAACGGCAAAACGCTCCTTAGTCTTATTTCCTGAAGGTACATTTGACTCGTTTATTTGGTGGGGAAAGATTGGTCATAGAGAAGGGACTGTGTAACAGTCTTCGGCGGATTGGGGAACCGCTCGAGGTTTTGACACAGTCAAAGGCCAAAGACAAATAGCACAAGGCCTCGGCCTCAACTATTGTCTGTCTTTTACGCAAATCTTTCAAGGGCTCCAGAGCACACCTTTAAACTCTTAAATTTCTCATATGTACATTTCAAAATTATCGTCACGTTTCCTATCGTTAACTCTCGGGAAGACATACAATTTGTATACTCAAAACAAACACTGATATCGATATAGGGTTTATTTAGGTTTCATCCGGGAATTATTCGAGCTCGATCTGTCAAAAACTTACAAAAGGCTCTTGAAGAAAGACTTCTCTCGTGCGAGCCTTTCTCCTACCGAGTAGAAAGCAGATAGAGAAATTTAAAGAAAGGGGTCAGAAGAGGTCGTGGGCGAGTCGAAAGCATCCGGCTCGGACAAGAAAAAGCCTTTTAACACCGTTAAAAACTTAAAGGGGCCTTTTAAAAAGGACCTGTGATTAAATTATTTTTTTCAATTTCCACTTTGCCATCATAGTAACATCAAAATTTGCCGTAAACAATATAGTTGAGTTAAAAAGAATTATGGCTTATTAAGTTTTTTTTAATACTTTTTTTAAATAATACCTTATTCTTCAATGGTAATGACGAAGTTCGTTTTTTAAAAATACATATTCGTTTTGCATTTCGTTTCTGGTCAACAAAGTCATTAATACAAAAATGATAAGATAACCTTATCAGCCAAAAATCGACTATTTTTGCCTGTTGTGCGCCTTGTTACATTTCGAATAACCGACACCTTCAATTCCTGTTAGAATTTAACAAATCTCCGATCTTTTATTATTAAAGAAAGAAGAAAACCGACTTTTAAACACAGTTGACAAAACGTGAAAGCAACTGATTCAATAATGTCAAAGTAAACGTGATGCCATGAAGAACTTTTCAAGAAGAAAGAATTGTACAGAAGAATAGATATCGTTTCTTGTCATAGGAAGAAAGGGTGACGTATAAACGGAATCACTACTAGAAGTACTATATATTTATTTAAAACCACTGTAATCACGTTGTGTAGAAATTTATTAATTCGAGAGTGTTCAGCGAAAATAAAAAACTGTTCTATCAGAGATCCTTCTAAAGAGGATTTTTTAAAGCCTTAAACTAGATTTTCGTTCAGTAAATTATATTAATCTTTAAAGGTTTTTTAAAAGGACGAAGACAAATCGGATTGTGTATGTATTATTAAGATGAGGTCGAGAAAGCCAGTTTTGTGAGCCTACCCCACTCGGAATGTGGCTGCACCCCGTTTGACGGGTTTCGTCTGGACTCTCCCGGTACGCCGACCCCCCTTTCTTATCTTATCAGCAAGGTCAGAAAGTAAGGTCATGGCGCAGGTGGTGGCTAGCTACCTTCGCCTACGCTAGAAAACTGGGAAGAGGCCAACAATAAAAACCCCTTTGTTGTTTTGTAAGGGCAGGACGTGCGACAGGGGGACAAAACGTCCTGGGGGTATTCAGCCCTCTCCTACCCCATTTCGTATCACAATGGTTAACGTATTTCGGGGGCGGAAAATCCTCCTACCTGGGCAACTTTAAAGAGTTTTCTCAGATTCAAGCTTCCTCCCACACAACCCCATTGTGAGCTCGCGACCGTTAAAACCTTCAGGATTTCTGCTCGTTACAATGGGTTTTGCTTCTTTTCCATCTCCAGGTTGTATACATCTATGTATCACCTGCTCGTCTGCCCTGAAGACAAATTCAGGTAGAGTACTATCTCTCCAGCCTATTCGGTTAAACGCGATGATACAAGTTGACCGTTTCCAATCATTGTCTACCTAGGAAAAGATCGCAAACCACAGGTTCAATACATCTGTCCAAAGTCCAGTATACAAAAAATTCAAGGGATCGAAAAGAAAAATTTCCGCAAGGGATCAAATATTATTTAACCTAAGTAAAGCGTAAGGAATTTTCATTACAGGAAATGGTTTACGTGACAACCTGATAGTAGAGAAGATTTTATGCCGTTTCGTCTTCTTTATATACAATTCTATTGTGAATATTCGAAACTCCGATCGAAATTACGGCCGCGCCCACCCACGGATTTTTGTTCTTGATGACTTAAACGAAACCCTGATCTCAAATTTATTCGAAAAATTATCAAAAGTGTAAATTATTAATCG